GGTTCGAAACTACCAGCCGCTCCACGGAAGAAAGATGAGGCTTTCTACTCCCGTAAGGATTTACACCCTCGGAAACCCTGTACAGGGTCGCTATGGGTCGGAACCGACTCGACGGCACTTAACAACAACAATATTAAGCACATATCAAACTAAAAAAAACAAACACTTTTGTAAGAAAAATTAGTAGATTTTTCTGCTCAAAGCCTGCTTTAAAGAAATCTATCTGAAAGATTACATGAATAATGATACAGCACTAGGTATGTATAAAACTGCTCTGGAAGTACATTTGTTAAATAATATCTTCTTCTGGCAAAGTTAACATGTATAACATCAAGTTTAAACTTCTCACCACCAAACCTTATGAAACAAACACCAGGAGAAATTGTGATAAATTATTTATTCTTAGTTCTTTTTCCTCAACTAGTACTTATATTCTTAGACATCGGAAATCACTCCTCCCCAAATGACAACTCAGTTTTAAATTGTCTCATTACAAATGATATGATGCTGAATCTTGAAAAAGATTCTCTGTCTAAAACAGAGGTTAAATTCTCTATCCATACTGTCATCCATCCATTATTCTATTTTGATGAGATAATGAAATGGTTTTTTTTTTTATTTTATTTACTGTTTTTTCCCCAACGTTGTCTTTTTTACCTGCTATTAGTTTCTCTGTGTCAGGGAGATGTGTGAACTGTTTTTTGTATTCCTCATTCCTGTCTTTATAGGTGGAACTTGAAATCTGCAACAACAAAAAAGATTAAATCTCTATTTAATTTTGACCTTCATTACATTAAGTCAATTTAAATATCTTACAAAATAAATTTAAAATGGACTCTAAAATCATAAGCTTCTATGCAATAATTTGTCCTGTCCTTGTATAAGAAACTACATAAACATTTTATTTAAAAAAAGAAAGAAAGAAAGAAAGCAAAGGAGGCTACTTTCTGAATGATCAAACGATGAATATGGCAAATACTCCCTACTAAGCCAAATATATATGGAGTCCTGGTGTGGCAGTACAGGATAATATAGTGGACTGCAAAGTTGGTTTGAACTTTGGGGTTCAAGATTGGGGGTTCACATTCACCAGTCATTCCTTGAAAACCCTATACAGGGTCGCTATGAGTCGGAACGGACTCGATAGAACTTAATAAACAACAAACCAAATATATAACGGGACAAAACTGTCAAAAACAATGATTCAATGCTTCAGAAATTAAACAAAAGCAACAATAAACTGAGAAGTATTTTTACATGAAAAATTAGGAGACTTGGGTTGTATAGTGGGAATCTATGGTACTCTTTTCCAAGCCTGCTCCCATTATTCCATGCCTTCTGTACACTTGTCAGGCAAGTTAAGTCAGTGCATAGTTCTACTAGGGTGGAACTGGTTGCAAAACTTAGCCCCTACATGTATAGAAGAGTCTGAGTGAGTCTGAGTGAAGTGTGGAATACAGAGAATCTATGTTCAGAAGTGAAAAGGACAGCCTAAAGTTACCTGAGTGTGAAGTTGCAGTTCAAATTTGGGTAAGACACAAGCTTAGCAAGATACCTAACAAAGAGATCACGGAGTGAGACAACCATAGATAGACTTCATAAGCTCACTGTTTATTCCTGCCGAACAGAGGCTGCATGCACCTACAGCAGGGACTGGCCATGCTACTATGTACACACTCCTGGCTGGAGACACAAAGTCTAAGAGGAACATGAAAACTGTGGAGAACTGGAAAATGACCCGAACTTGGAATAAATTCCACATTCTACGCACAGATCTACTGAAAGAAAAAAACCTTACTAGCTCTATGTGTTTGAACAAAACTTCCAATCAGTCATTGATTAACACAGGGGTGACGCTAGGAAGCCAGCCTTAAATATAAAGGCAGCAGTAGCAATAATAATTAACTACCCTTAACATATCTCACAAAGATAATGTTCTATATGCCAATCTGATGAGGTGCAACTAGAGTTTTTAAAGCTTGTAAGCAGCCATCTAAGGTTGGTTTCTCCCTGTCCAAGGAAAATGATGAACCTCAACCACACATGGAAATAATTAGTGCAACTGACTAATAGAACACTGGAACACCAATGTCCACAACAAGAGGACCAGACCAACTAGAAGGTGCCTGGCTCCCACTACCAACCAAGTTACTAAATAAAATCTTTTAAAAAAACTTTCGGAAAGGGGGAGATGGGATCAGATTCCAGAATTACTACAATATATTTTGTTGACTAATCATCAATAAAAATTATCAGACAGGAAAATGTGATGTGATTCATATTATGGGGGGAGGGGGAGAAGAAGGCAATAGAAAGTCTGTGAGATATCTGAGATATTGTATTTTGAAATAAAAATATCAAAGCAATTAGTATAAATATGTTCAAGAAAATAAAAGAGCCCATGCTTACAGAAGGAGTCCCTGTGTGGCACTGTAGGATAAGCATTGGACTTCTAACTGCCAAAGGGTCCTTGGAAATCCTATACAAGGTTGCTTATCAATCAGGACCAGGACGGACTCCACAACACTTAACAACAGGACACTTAAAGAAAGACGCCCTGACAGTGCAGTGATTTTTAAAGCAGTTGGCTGCTAACCCAAAACTCAGCAGTTTGAACCTACCAGCCACTCTAAAGACTTAAAGCCTTGGAAACCTTGTAGGGGAAGTTCTACTCTGTCCTATAGGGTTTCTATGAGTCAGAATCAAATCAATGGTAGTGGGTTTGGTTTTGATTGGTATTTTAAAAGATTTAAGGTAAGTAGGACAACAGTAGAGTCAAGGTTAGTTGGTGGTTTAAACCCACCAGCCGCTCTGTGGAATATACAGGGTCACTTTGAGTCAGACCCACCTCAACAGTATTTAACAGAAACAACAAAGACATAGAAATTATTTTCTTTTTTAAAAAAGAACCAAACAGACATTCTAGAACTGAAAAGTATAACTGCTTCTCTCTTTTGCTCCAATTTCACACATCCACTGCATTTTCCAACTATTATTACTTCAGTAATGTGGTTTTCATATCTAGAAGTTGTATTTAGTTGTTTTCAAATTGGCCTGGTATTTTTAATACTGTCCTATCTACTTAGGATATATAAATATATATATATTTCTTTTTACTATTTTATAGTCTTTATCTGATAGTTTTACTTGCTAAAGTTTTGCACAACCTCGGAAACCCTACACAGGGTCCGCTATGAGTCAGAACCAACTCCACGGCACATAACCACCACCACCACCAATATGCCATTTATTAAATCTCCTTCTACTTAATCATAGAGTATAAAATTACATTCCCCAAAGCTTCATGAGAAATAAACTATTGTATGTACACTTGGGAGATAATACTTCCCTTATCCCAGACCTAAACAGACAAGCTTCCTAGTCTTCTTCATCTTGCAGATGTAGATAGATTTCTTTATTTCCCCTTCAATCTACCTCTCATAGGAGGTATAAGCCTTCAAGAATTATGTTTTTATAGAGTTTTCAGATCCAAATCACACACATTCAATGCAGATGTAGATAGATTTCTTTATTTCCCCTTCAATCTACCTCTCATAGGAGGTATAAGTCTTCAAGAATTATGTTTTTATAGAGTTCTCAGATCCAAATCACACACATTCAAGGCATCATCTCCTATCCTTGAATGGCCATTAAAGCTTTGGTTACAGAGACTAGTAGCCTCCTCAGGGCTGTTTCAGCATTAGCTCATGTGCTTTCACATCTAGTAATTAATTCTTTTCTCTTTTTATAAGCCCTTAGAAAGTTTCCTTTGCTGTTTTCTGTTCTCTGACATGCATTTTGAAAAAGATGCTTGTGACATTTTGTAGCAGAGAGCTTTTAGATTTAAACAGCCCCCCTTCCCATACAGCCAGAAACATTAGTTTACTATTCATTTATAATTAAATGTAAAAGTGTTAGATACCTATGTTTTTCCAACAATATCTAAGTATCTATACTTACATTTTTTAAACTTGAATAAAAAATGTTTTCAATACAATAAACATTAGGAAATGAGTTTAGCTTTTGTATCAGTCAAAAAAGTGAAAATGTAAAATATCTTTGTAAGCTGAAATATACCTAAGGTACTGTTGTCTTTGAGAATGAAGTGTGTTATAAACACACTAATTAATTCTCATGGGTTTTACCTTTTTACAGGGCAACATTAATTAATCCTCATGACGTACCTATGAATTAGGTTTGTGCCAAGTTTTAACCCCACACATGAAAAAAAAAAACCTACCTGTAACTCACATGACTAAGATCATGTAATAAGTCCTTCTGATTTCTTGTACAATAAAAACCTGGATTATGATCTAGAGAAATTAAAATTCAGTTTTTTTTTTAATTAAAAATCAGTGCTCTTGTCACTGTACATATGTCATTGTTGTTAAGTGCTGTTGAGTCCATTTAGATTCATAGAGAACCTGTTTAGGATTTCAGAGGAGAGGCTGGTGAATAGAACCACCAACACTGCAGTTCAAACTGACCTTGTGATCCTGTGATTATCCTACAGTGCCAAATCAGGACTCTTGTACATATGTAATTGTTTAAAATCTAGAATTGTTTTATATTCTTGAATGCTTTAGAATTAATATAAGAAATAATAAATTTGAATTCTAGCCTCTTATAGAAAGCTTTAGTCTTTTGTTTTTCCCTCTCATGTCTTCTATATATATATACATATACCAAATTTTTCAAATACACAATTCTTCAAAGAAAAATACACCAAGGATTCCTAAAAAAGTTTAATTTTAGTTACACAATGCAGAAAACTATAAATCCTTCCACTTTTAAAATACAATTATCAACTAACTCGGTTATTAAGAAAATGTGTTAAGTGCCATCAAATCAGTTTAGATTCATAGCGACCCTGTGTAGAGTGGCTAATGGGTTTGAACCAACAGCCTTGTGGTTAGTAGTCCAATGCTTATCCTGCAGCACCACACAAGGAGCTATACTAATGATGAGTATTATAGGGGAACTTAATGCTAATGATGAAATACCAAAGTATAAAAACAAATGCTAGCTACTAAATATTTCACCCAAAGCACTATTATTACATCTTCCAAAAAATCCAGTTAAGTACGTCATCTTCTAAACACACACAACAGAAAATCTCAAAAGCCTTTTTCTGTTCCCAGTCGTTGCTAACTCAACATCGCCAAGATTATTGTTGTTGTGGACCGTCAAATCGGTTCTGACTCATAGTGACCCTGTAGTGTTTCCAAAGAATGGCTGGTGAGTTTGAACTGCTGACCTTGTGTTTCAAACCAGCCTTGCGGTCCAGCGCTTTATCATACAGCACCACATCAAGATAAACTGCATTAAATAAATGCATCTGCTGCAGATCTGTATTTGCTTTTCTCCTGGGACCTGACTCCACCTGGAATATATCATCATTAGTCAAGAAGAAAATGGACATTTTCCTTGTTTTATGGGTTTCCTTTTGACTCTGTATTTATACTAACAGTTAAAGAGCAAATAATATTTGACATATTTTTAATTTAAATTTATTATTTTTTAATCTCAAAAACTGTCATTACTTCATTGTGATTTAGAAGTTAATAAGCAGATTTTCCAAAATTTGGGTTAAATAAAACATAAAACTGAAGTTCTCTATTTTTATAGTATAGGATTGAAACAGAAAAATTACAGATGTTGGTCTGACAGTCAAAAACAATGGGGTTTTGTAAACCAATGTCATTGTAGTACAATAGCCAAAATGTGGAAACAACC